AGCAATAAAAATAACACATGGAGATTCTATTAGTTACAATACTGTTGGCCAATGTATACAGCTTCTATTGTATAGTTCTGTCTTAAGTATTAAACCATAACTACTAGTATGTATATTTTTACAAGGACTTATCGCAGCGAGGATGCCACCTCATGTGTCCTCTCTTCCCAGGATCACATGGTGACTCCTTTTTACTACAGTTCCCAGAATATTCCTTCTCTCCTAGTCCTGCCTATCTTGCTTCCCTATTGGCCAACAGTGTTTTATTCATTAACCAATAAGAGATACATATGCCCATAATGACTTCCCCCATCAATGTTATGTAGATGTATGAAATTGTCATACAGTAAATAAAAATATTTTCTAAAAACAAACAAACAAACAAAAATGAATCTTAACTTTTTTTCCTGGAAGGTTACAGCAGAAGCATCTTACAGTGTGCATCTTTCATCCCAGTCTAGCTTTCACTGGAGTTTAGAATAAATATGCTGAACTAGGTAGAAAGAGACAGGGAAAGAGTCCTAGGAAGTAATAGGATTGAGGCACAACATTTTTCATATACTCTATAGCAACATTTCACAACACACATCCAGAAAGGTTCATTTGCATCCAGTCTGTTTGTCATGGGTAATTCAAGAAGGCTTTAGAGAACTATGGGGAGCAAGCCAGTAAACAGCTTTCTCTCATTTTTCCTTCCTCTACTTCTGTACATCTTCTTCCCTGGCTTCCCTCAGAAATGGACTGTGATCAGAATGTATAACTCTACAAAATCAGTTTCTTTTCAAAATGTTTTCAGTCATTGTGTTTATAAAAACAATAGAACGAAAACTAGAGCAAATTAACTCTCAATTAAACCCTGAAGTATGGCAAAATTAAAACTCAAGTAAAATAAGGGGAAATAATATAAAAATTTGCATGACTCCTTAGTCAGGATCAACAATTTCAAAAACATGAAAAACTGTGTTGCCTCTACTCTGAGAGTAGTATTTTATATCAATCCAAGAATCTTCTCCATCTGTGTATAGTTCCATTAATATGTGCCTTCAAATGAATGGAAACTTAACATAATCTAGATTTGTACACTGAGAAATCAATAACAATGAATGATAATTGATATCAATGTTTAATCAATGGCAAATCTCTAATGATCACATACATCTAATTTGTCTATTTTATTTATGTTTTCTAAAGATTACAGTAGGTACAGGTTTTGTACTTGGTTGAAATAATAGTTAATTTTCCTAGATTTACTTTCCTTCTGTCTTTTTCATGACATGGAGCTTATCTCCATAAGTAATATAAACTTGAAATAATGTAAATCTTTCCTCTTAAATCTATGTTAAAATCCATTTCTTCAATACAGTATTTCAGAGTCCACAAGTCATCATTTTGATTTACTGCTTTCTTTTAAACTTTTATTTTATGAAAGAAATCTAACTGTGCATCATAGATTAAGTCAATTGGTAGAGAGCCTTTCCAGAATGAAGAAGGCCTTGGGTTCAATCCCCAGCAACTCATCCAATACAGCTGCCTGGGGATCCCAGTAATTCTGCAACTCAGGGATTAAAGAGGTAAGAGAGTCAGTGCTTTCAGGTCATCATTGCTACATAGCCAGTTAGAGGCTAGCCTGGGCTACTTGAGACCCTGTCTAAAAATATGAGTATTGAGTTCAGCAAGATTACTCAGCAGGTAAATACTTTTGCTGTCAGGATTCAAGCCCTGGGTCCAGTTGTTGAATATGTAATTGAGTTCTCAAATTTCTGCCCTTTATTCTCTGCAAACCTGCCTACAAAAACTTCCATGGCAGCACAATGGACTACCATCAGTAGGGGGAAAGGCAAATTCCCTCTGTCATCCTGGAGCCTCCTCTTTCTGTTTCACCCATACCAAACCAATTCACAGTGTTAATCTCTGTTTACAAATCCACTCACAATTAATCATACTTTCTACTTTATCTTCTGCAAGACCTCCTCATTTCCAGAATTGATTATGTCATTGACTTTACTGTATTTCCTGTGATTGTTCTTTCAATAACATGGATGATTAAACAGAGTTATGGCCCTGAAGTCATATGTAGAGTTAATTCTGAGATGCACCATGAGGATCCACACTTTACTCAGTGATGGTCATTATTTAAACAGGGCACAGGTTATATACAACATACCTTTGAAATTTATTATTACACTTCTGGAGCCTCTAGTGTCTGAATCCAACCACCCTGGTATCTTGGGCTGTCTTCTCATCTCAGGACTTTGCACATAGTGACTGCTTTCTCTCCCTGTTGTTCTGCTCCAGTAGTTGCATGGCTAATAAATTAACCAAATCTCAGGGTTCTGCTTCAGTTAGGCAGGCTTTAGCATTGACATCCCTACTGGGATATAAAATTGTACCTGCCTCTGTCATTCACCATCCTATCACTATGTTTCTGTCTCTCTACAGCACTTGCTGCCATGGAATGTGTCCCCATCGGAATTCAGTTGCTGTCAAATTCCCACAGTGTAAGAATGTCAAGTAGCAGCTTGTACCTTTGCCTTGCTCACTTCTTCATGAACAACACACCAGTTTATGGTGGTTTTTCATCAAAATGAATGGGGACTATGAGGAAACACTAGACATTTTTTGTGAACATTTGTTCCTGTTCTGTAGATCTCCCTGGTCAGTAGGTTATTGAAGGTCTAGTCCATTCATAAACAGGGGTCCCAAGAATCTGGGGCTGCAGCCCACAGTTTAATACACAAGAGGGATGTGCTTATAATCCTACTGAAATTTTAGCACAAGCACATACAGAGTCACTGCACAGGAAGCCCCTGTCCAATCTACAGGACAGATGGAGATAGTTATTCATGAAACCAGACCTGCAGAACTTTGTTCAGTTTGACTGCAGGCATAGGACAGGAAGAGTTGTGTAAAGAGAATGTTCTCAAAGGGAAGCTAAACCTGATTAAATAAACTCCATAGCCTGATTTACTGTTAAAGTAGACAATAACCTACAGGGCACAGACAATGGCCCTGAAAGCACAAATGCTGTTCTATCCTTTCATTTTTTCTCTCCTTCTTTCAGTTCTAGGTCTCAGATTACTGATCAGACTCCAGTGTGATAGTTCTCTGCAATGTCTTTCCACTGAATATGAATACAGGGAAGGAGAAGGCTGTGATACAGCAAGCATTACAAAAGCAAACCTGCCTAAATGACAGCTGTCACCACATCCTGACACTGCTCATGTTCCTCATAGATGTAGAGAGACCATGTCTCCTGATTTACATTAAAGAAAACAACAGCGAAGAAGATTCTTCAGACACAGGTTTCCTCAGTCAGATACAGCCGAAGTAGCATGCCGAGAGACCTGTTCTCTACAGGCCAGAGGCCATGGGTTAAAGAAATGAAACAATTGGCCCTGGACTAGTAAGCAAGATGCCAGTGAGATACAACAACCTCTCACACACTGCAGATGTTCTACCACCTGTCACATCCATTACAGCCATTTTAAGGAGAGGAATAAGAAACATGCCAAAACAATTAGACATGCTTTACCAAAGCCAACATCTATATCAACTCCTTTAGCTCTACCTCAACTTGAAGGACTGACTGAGATCATCCATGAGACTGTCCTGTCCACCTTTCACCAAAGCACCCCAGTTTCCAAGCTGAGGATCCCCACTCTTAGGCATGTTACTAAATGTCTTGTCACCTCTCAGGTCTTGGGAGAAAAGAGATGGTGAGGGTTAGAATTTACATCTGAATGTTCTTCCTCCTTACCTGATAATCCTGAGTCCAGTGTATGTGCTCAGTGCAGTTCAGATGCAGGAACCACTGTCCGCTGTGCTCCAGTCTCTTCTCATGAAACCCACCCTTTCCTCCTATATAGGACTTTTATACTCTTCTGGCTTCTGCCCGTCTCCTATCAGTGTGTTTTGGCCAATCATGGAAGAGCATGGATGTAGCTGCTTTTCAGAATTAACTGCATTTCCAAGAAGAGGAAAGTGAAATAAAATAAACAGCTGTTTGTAATTCTATCAACACTTCATTTCTTGGCAGAAGAAGTCGGACTTTCCTAAAATAACACTGTGGAATGGGGCTTGTGCAAAGAAGGGGGCAAAGAGAAGCAGCTTACTAGCTAGTCTGGCCAGCTTCCCTTGAGAATTGACAGGCATTAAGTCTGGCTTGGGCTTGACAGGTCTTAAACATGTTGTCACATCCACAGTCACTTTATAAGAATAGTTGTCTTGCTGTGTCCAGAAGACACTGTTACCTTGTATTCATCTACAGCTCTGGCTCTTACAGTCTTTTCACCCATTCTTCCACAAGCATTCCTAAGCCTTTGGAAGTGGAAATATGTATATTCCATTAGGGGCTGGACATTTATCGATGCATCTTGACCATATTGTATTGACCATCTCGTGGATATTTGTATTGATTATTATCTAATGCAAATTAGAGCTTCCATGATAAGGGTTAAGCAATGCCTTAACCTATGGGTATTATGGAAAATTATTTGGAGCTGGTTTAATATAATGTCCTTTTAGCAGAATAAAAATAAAAATAGTATGTTTTCACTGGTGTGTATGACCAATATAACCTTGGGTGAATGTCCAGATATCTTACCAAGGATGTGTATCATCTTGTGGAGTAATATTAAATCCAATCAGGAAGTATTTGGTTACTACCATGACATCCTTGTCACTACTACATTGGTGGTTTTGTCTTTTCTGGCCAGTATTACTGTTGATCACAAAGTTCATACCTGCATTTGATTAATGTTCTATTTTCTCCTCTGCTAGTGAGGCTAGAACCCTCCAGCTCTATGAAAGCTAAATATTAGGGCTGGATCTTCTGGGTCAGCATCAGCTTGATTTCTACATGTTTTGTAACTCAGGGATTTGGTGATTTCACTCACAGGATCTTCTTACCAAGTTCTGAAAGGAACAAAGAGCACTGACAAGGACCTGTATAGATCAGGGTCATCACTTGCCAACAAACCCAAAAAGGCTAAGTCATTCCTGGTTCTGGACTTTTTATTTATTACCCTGTTCTGTCCTACAAGGCATTTGTTGCCACAGTTGAGGGCAACTGCATCTTCTTTTATATGATGAGATATATTATAGGAAGCCTCTACATTATTAGATTGCATACATTTGATTTTGAAAATCCTTTTGTGTTGTTTATCCTTCCTACTTTCAGTTCCCTTCCCTACTGTAGCTCCAAGCTCAATTTAACATGTCTTGGTCCCGAACTCTCTTTTAAATCCCATCTTCCTTCTACTGCAAGTCCTACTCCATGATATCATAGTAATTTCAAAACCTCTGTGGGTATTCCAAATGGAACTCACATATCTAAGGGTGGAAGAGAAGATCTACCCAGGAGAGGGATCAAATGATGTTTGTCCCACTGGGACTCTCTTAAGTCACTTAATGTGGGAAATTACCAATATGGAGCCAGGTAAAAATACAAGGGAATTCAATAGGGAAAAGCCTTACTTACAGTGCGACCTAGACAGCCGGTGCAGGAGCGGTAAGTACAGCAAGACGAAGATTAAATGGAAGAAGGGGCCGCCACTTCAGCGCCCCTCACTCTTAAACCTTCCATACATCACCCTGACCATGTCCTCGGAGGTGTGGTCAGGCTCACCTGTATCCAGCCCCTAGCAAGTGTGGCTACAGCATCCCCTAATATTCCCCTTTTAGTCTAAAAGAGGATTAAAACTTAACAGTTTAAAGTATCCAAAATTAACAATCATAAAGGTGAAATATAAGAAGATACAACAATATGCTTATGTCACATCCTAACTATGTTTATTTTAACTAAACCAAATAGCCATCTGAAAGAGATGTCCAAGCCTGAACACCTCCTTCCAATCCCAACTATAAACAATAGGAAGCTATCCCTAACTAGGTATATACACTATCCTAAGTGACAACAATGGGGAAAGAGGGGTGTAGCATCCTCCAAGTTACTTCCTACTGAAATGGGATGGCGATAGCCTCCTGGGGTCCTGTAGGAAGAAAATGTTAGTTTAGTGAAAGTCTTGAATGGATTGTATCCAGTCCATGTTAAATGGGATTCCCTTGATTGAAGATCTAGCTTGAAATCCTCAACTTGATTGAAAACAGTACCAAAACTCTCGCTGGAGTGTCAGTTGAAATGGAGCAAGTTGGATCCAGTGCAGTCGAAGAGGTGTGGCCCTTTTTATTCCAGGGCGTCCAGAGATTGGTGTCAGGCAGGTCTTCATTGGCTGTGTGGGACTCAGACATAAATGTTAGTAGAGAAATGTTTGCTTGTGTATGTAAGGATGCTTGGAAAGGCAACCTTGGGAGAATAACAATTATGACAGGGTGTACACCTTGAAGGAAAGAGCCAAGGAAAGACAAAGACAGTCCCCAAATTCTTCTCTTATTCTGTATTAAATCAGTTGGCTTCTTGATAAAATACAGAAACTCTAAAGTTTAGTTAAACAACATGCTTGAATTTTAGAGGAGGAAAACCAAATCCACCTCTAAATCCAGCATTGGTTTAATTAATAGGGACTAGGAAATAAAAAGAAATAGAGTTCGCTGAGAGACAGCTGTAAAGTTTACCGTATGGCATGTTCCTTTTGTTTGATGGTTATATCTACCTTCTCTTCTTAAGTATCCACCCATGCAGTGTCCTTTGAATCCAGAGATGACTTTTCCTGTGAATATAAAAGCATAACACTTTCCTTTCTTTTGGAAGCTTTCTTTTTTATTTTTTATATATTTGAATTACAAACAAGATTGAATTACATGACAATCCCAGTTCCCTTCTCCCTCCCTTCCTCCTTTACCATCCCCCCAATTAAAATCCTACTTATCGTATGTCCTTTCTTCTAATCTACACCTGACTCAAAATTTCTGCTTCCTCATGACCTCTGCATCCTTCCTTATCTTCCCTTCTCACTCTCATAGCTTCCTCCCCCCTCTTCCCATGCTCTCAATTTGCTCAGGGGATGGTGAACCTTTCCCCTTCTCCAGGAGACAAAGTTTATCTCTTTTACAGTCTTCCTTGTTTACTACTTTCTCTGGCAGTATGGATTATAGGATGGTAATCCCTTACTCTATGTCTAAAATCCACATATGACTGAGTACATACCATGTTTGTCTTTTTGTGTTTGGGTTACCTCACTCAGAATGGTTTCTTTGAGTTCCATCCATTTCCCTGCAAATTTCAAGATTCCATTGTTTTTTTCTGCTGAGTAGTATTCCATTGTGTAAATGTACCACATTTTCTC